ATAAAAAAAAACACCAGAGATCTGCCAGCACTGATATAACATTCTCTGCTATAGACTCTAATCTATTTTTGCAGCCTTATTTTCCATTCCCATACTATTCGTATCCTCAGCTAAGCCAAAATGTGCTAGCAACTATTAACGTGCCTCCGTTCCTGCTTGCTCCCTAAGGCCTTGCCTCCCACAATATCACCTCCACTAGCAAAAGCCTAACCTGACTTCGAAGCCTATCTCAAATGCTGCTGCTCCGAGAGGAGGCCCTTCCCCATTCCCCTCACACAAACCCAGACTTGGTATTTTGGAGTACTTACAACCAATCCTTGGTTCAGTTCCCTCTGAGCATTTATCACACTATTCATTGTTTCTTAATTAAAGGACCTGTACATCTGAACCTCCATTAGCTATTTATTGAGCACTTGCTACATCCCTGGACTATCTAGGAGCTAGAGTCGCAGTGTTAAATTATTCCATTATTGTTTTTTAAATACTCAATATCCCGATGGGAAATGCAAAATGTAGAGACAAATATATTCTATGAGCTTTTTATTGCTTCGATCTTTTATCCGTTTTTTTGAGATATAATTTACATGCCCTAAATTTCACCCAAAGAGTAGAATTCAATATTTTTTAGTATATTATAAAATTGTGCAACCATCACCATATCTAATTTCAGGACATTTTAATCACCTTAAAAAGAAACCTTGTCCCTACATTGGTCACTTCCCATCCCCCTATTACTGTCCCCCACCCCAATCCTAGGCGACCATAATCTATCTTCTTTCTCTATAGATTTGCCTATTCTGGACATTTTTTTATATAAATGAAATCATACAAGATCTGATTTTTTTGAGCCTGGCCTCTTTAACTTAGCATAACATTCTCGACATTGATCCCTAACATGGTACATATCAGCACTCCCTTTTTATTGCTAAATGATAAATGACTGTATAAACACACCACCTCTTATTGATTCATTCATCACTTCATGGACGTTTTGGGTTGTTTCCACTTTCTGCTTATGAATAATGCTGCTATAAACATTTGTGTACAAGTTGTTGTGCGCGCATATGTTTTAATTTCTCTTGGGTATATACCTAGGAGAGGAACTGCTGGATCAAATGGTAACCCAGCGTGTAACATTCTGAGGGACTGCCAAACTGTTTTCCAAAGCAGCTGCACCGTTTTACGTTTCCACCAGCAACGCATGAGGGTTCCAACTTCTCTACTGTTTGAATCTTACAGAATAAGAATGACCTCACTGTACAATATCCTTACCTCCTGGAACTTCTCGTGGAATAAGACAAGAAAGAAACTGACAAAAACAAACGTTTTAATTTTAGATGATAAGAAAAAGGAGAAAATAAAACAGGGCAAACCAACCAGAAAGTAACCAGCACAAAAGGGAGTCCAGAGCTAGATGGTCGGAAAAGACCTGTCTGTAAAGATAATGCTGACCTGAGATGTAAAGAGCTGGAGGGGAAGTATTCCAGGCAGTGGAAAGAGAAAGAAAAACTGAGAAAAGAACGAGTTTGGCAAGTTTAGGGAACAAAAAGGAAGCCAGTGTAGCTGAAGTATAATGAAGAGGCGGAGGAGGTGGGAGTTGCACACAGGTAAGCAGAGGCCAGATAACGCTGGGCTGCGGAGACCATGGTAAGTAAGGTCGTTGGATTTTAAAATGCCATGAACATTTTTTTAATCCCTTATGTTTCTTTAAACACAGGTGTCCGCCTATGCAAACACTTATTGAACTTTCGGATATCTTATGACTGCACCTAATAGTAGCAAATATTAAAGAGACTATTTTGGTCAATCCACACCATTTAATTAGTATCGCTTTAGGTTTGTGGCCCAAGACAGAGTCCCGATGGCGTTTTGGTAGTCATGCCTATGAATTACGAGCATGTAAATGAACCCTTACAAAGTTATCACCTAGCCTTAACCAATTCAGGCGTACACCTTTCTGACAGTAACTAGCAGCTCTGTCTTAGAATATTAAAGTTATTTCCAACAAAGCAAGCCAATAAGAACACAGTTGCAGATCATTCTCATAACTTAAACCTAGATTTCATTCTTTATGGAATTCTAGTTTATTGACCACTTTTTCTCCATTCTACTAATCAAAAATTTCCAACTGCTAAACATAAAACCTATGGGCGTGAAATATTCTATGTTTTTCTATATTATTCGAATCTTTTAAAACACTTTCCATATATTACTGCTATAGTTGGCTTTTTCAAAGAGACACAAAAAAAATGTTTTGAAAACTCTAGTGACATAAATGTCACTCCCTTGATAAAAGAGCCTGTTACCCAGTCGCAGCTTCATCTCCATGGCTCTCCCTCCAGGCACTGTGTGCTCCTGTAGAACCAGACGCCTGGCTAGCCTCATTCTTGTTTCCTGGGCCTCAGCTTTATGCTTCACATTCCCCACTGGAGATATCCAACCGGTTCTTCAAGGTCCAGGGCAAACCTTGTCCCTTCCACGTCTCTTCTCCAAGCCTCTTCCCTGAGCAGAAAGGTCCTGCCTCTGTGCTCCCGCGGCACATCCACACCTCAGCGCTGCCTGGCACAGCACCGCATGTGCGTCTGCATCTTGTACAGAGATACTGTCCCCAAACTGCTCCCCTCAGCATGCCCTCAAGTACAGAGTAAAGCTATTTGCAATTACTGGGTGCTCAGTTGAAAGCCACATCCATTTTAGCACCATTTGGCACACTGTGATACCAAGTCACTACTAAATGCAAGGTCGGGGTCAAGCCCCCTTTAGAGGCAGTTAAGGCAGAGCAGTCTTTCCCTCCTTCCTCATTTGGACAGAATTCTTTAGTAAATGGTTTCTTAATAATCACACAATCCCACTATTTAAATGAAACTTTTCCAAGCTCATGACCTGTTTAAGAATTGCTCGACAATTCTTGCGACGCTGTCTGAAGTCTGTGAGTGATATGTACCATCAAGAATGTATGACTCTAAACTCCGAGCACAGAGAAGATGAAAGATCTACACAGGTCATACAGCTGACCACAGGGGCCAACATACGATTCTATTCAGTATTCTACACACTACACCCTAACAGGAAGAACCTGAACATCAGTAACTTTCAAACGCATCTGATGGTGCTTGGTGTAGGGTAAATAGGCAAATACTTATATTAATGAAGATAATTTAAAACGTTCTTAGTTGTGGTCTATTTGCAATGTAAAAATAATCCTTAATCACGTAGATCGTATTAACAGATTATTTCAAAACTCACTGTGCAGTTAAAACTACACAAAAGTTTGTCAAAACTTCTGTTCTTAGTAATGGCACTGACCAAAAACCCATCCACGAGACCCACTTTTTCCTTCTTCATTTGTTCCCAGAGGCCCAATAGACTAAACATTATAGCTCGCCCCATCTTCTAATTTCAGCTTGCATTCAAGATAACGCTTTTGTTTCGTTTACAGCTCACATGCTGCTGACACAGCTGCCCCTTCTTCGTAATAAACACTGGGCTTCTATATTTAAAAATACAGTGAAACTTTGTTATAACATCCCCTCCCCAGTCTCCGGCCAATATTCTCTCTTCCAAGCCCCACCTCCACCCCAGGCTTTTCTGTCGTCGGCGCTCAGAGCGTCAGACCCTTTGGAAAGCCCATGTCCTTCTTTACAGACACCTCATCGTAGTGGCACGTTTCTTCGCAACTCGTGTGTGTGCGTGTGTGTGTGTGTGCGTGTGTGTGTGTGTGTGAGCAAAGGACGGGAAGGACTCCTTTCCCCAGAGGCCTTCCCAGCACTCGAGTCTGTGGCTCGAGAGTCTGCGGGACTTTCCGAGCTGCGCCCAGCGCCCCGACGTCCAGCGGGGACGGGCTCCCGGCGCGCGCGCCCTGGGGGACTGCGCTGCGCTGGGGGCGGTGGGCGTCCTGGTGAGCGCCCAGCGGAGGGACTGGGGGCAGCTGGGGGCCCCGGGCGCCGAGGGCGGGGGGCAGACACGCCCGCGTCCCTTGGGCAGCCGGTAGGGGGCGGTCGCGGAGGGTGTGGGCCCGAGGGGAGCGCGGGGAGGAGATAAGTCGAGGCCGGAGTTAATCATCACCTCCCAAGCATCTGGCAAAGGACGGCCCGGGGCCGCGGTGGCGGGAGGCAGCCCCGGGGAAAGCGAAACTCCCTGCCCGCGGCTCAGCGCCGCCAGTCTGCGGCGTGGGGACAGGCACCGGGCTCCGGGG